TTAGGCAAACAAGGTCAGAGCTACAAGCACCTGGACAATCATTAGATGGTTGCTGAGAGTTAGGACCTTTGTATTTAGTAGTCATCCATGGTTTTGATGCCCAGACATGATATGCCTGATGGCATGAACCAATGTTTCTCAACTTCACCAACTCTTAAGATGTGTAGACTTCTACTCGGAAAATTTGGGAATCTGGAAATTGAAGTCTACATAAACTTAAAGTTATCAAGGTTGAGACACACTGGTATGGACAGGCTCTATTAAAGGTCATTGTTATCTGCCATGCTGAGGTGAAATCTAGGGATGTGACCCAGCCAAAATTAGTGAGCCTGAACTTCAAACAATTATTGCTATTCACCCACTGAAGTCCTTAGACTTTCTCCATCCCACCAGGCAGGAAGTTGAGATAACAATTGTTATGTTCTGGATTGCCACTGTTACACATTATAAGATTCTCCCTTTTGTTTTTGGTAAAGTGAAGCCATTGCCGTAACAAATAAAAAAAACCAAGCAAAAGCTGTTGTGTGGCCAGCCCATAGCCCGCAAATAGTCAGATTGACAACAATGATGATGATGAAGATGATGTTTTCCATTCAATTGTGTCCAACCCTTGGCAATTCTATGGGCCAGGTCTCTCCACATCTTCTGAACTTGTATGACTCCGACAGAGGCCAGGTCAGGCCACTCCAAACGGCCTTGCTGGTGTCTCCTCAGAATCTTGCAATATGCCAAGAGGGATTGCAGTCCTATCAGTAGAAGCTCCCCATTTGGCTTAGTCTTCCTTGTGAGGAGCTGGATTGGATTTGGTGGGTGGCTTGGTCAGCTGATGAATGGAGTATAGGAGGATAAGAAAAGAACAGAGGAGCCTGTATAGAGGCATAATGATTTACTATGTTCACAACAGAGTAAGAGAAAGAAGAGCTTCGGTTACTGAACAGATTGGAGCATCTGGAAGAAGGAAAAGCAGCACCAAAGCTTATGAGAAATGCCAGGAACCATACAAGTTATAGCTGAGTGACAGAACACTTGCCTTACCCAAGTGGATCATTGGCTTGGATCCCCTAGTTTTGCTGAATCACAGGTCTTTCCTTGCCAGTCCATCAAAAGGATGAAAGTTAAACATTGATTTTGTGTCTCACTGAACAGAGTGATCAAGACGGATACTGAATTGTGTCCAAAGTAAACAAGCATTACTGGTTTGCTGGATAGAATTTTCCCATTTGTTACGCTAAATATTTTGCTGAAAGTATAAAACAGGACTGAGGACTATAGAACTGCATACATTTACCCTTTCTCGGTTTCTTTAAGAGAAATGCTGACTCAAGATCCTGTCTTCCTACTCTGACAATTTTCACAAGGTGCATTTGTCAAAAACTGACTGAAATGAAATGGATTGCATTATCTTGAGATACGATGCATGAGATCACAGGGCAAATCCTAATAAGCATCAAAGCATTTTGGAAAACAAAACTTCCTAAGTCGTTTTCCAAAATGAAAGTAGGAAGCAATCCTGACCCTCCCTCTGTTCCTGATGCTATCCTGCACCTTTTCCTTATCCCCACCTGCTCTAATCTTGTTCCCCTTTCAGATGCCTTAGTCGCCACAGGAGTCAGAGGTTGATGTACCCAGGGAATGGGCTGTGCCACTGTGGATGAGAAGGGCTGGCTCAGCCTAAACTTGCCAATCGCTTAATGGGAGATTGTTGCATTCTCCTCTTATTAGCAAGTGTATTAGCACAGAACCTCTCACTTAGCTCATCTGTTCACTACCACTAAATGCGATTGGATGACGTTGGCTGAGTAATAGCTTGCGGTGGGTTTTTTCCAGTAGTGTTCATCAGTGGTGGGTTTCAAAAATTTTTACTATCAGTTCTGAGGGTGTGGCTTGGTGGGCGTGGCAGGGGAAGGATACTGTCAAATCTCCATTCCCACCCCACTCTAGGGGAAGGTTACTGCAAAATCCCCATTTCCTCCCAATCAGCTGGGACTCGGGAGAAAGAGAATAGATGGGGGCGGGGTCAGTCAGAAGTGGTATTTACCGGTTCTCCGAACTAATCAAAATTTCTGGTACTGGTTCTCCAGAAACCCACCTCTGGTGTTCATGTGTTAAAGATGGCTAGGCTTGATACACTGGTGTTTTCATAGCAATGCTGTTTTGGGATCTTCATTTGGGATGTTTACTGAATATAATCTTCAGTTAAAAAAAAAAAATAGGGGTGTTTCTGTTCCCAAAATGAAAAGGGAGAGTCGATTCAAGGATTTGAAGCTAGAATAGCTTCTTCTTATACAACCAGATTTCACTGGAATGATATTTTTTTGATTGGCTTTTGTTTTTATTAAGAAAAAAGAAAAAAAAGTATTTCCTAAATACCATAAAAGGAAATTAAAAAACAAAGACTATTTGGAGCAGTTCCAGCTAAATTAAGTGTGGCTCTATTCCTGTTTTTCAGTTACTAAAATTGGCAGCAAGAATTAGAAAGAATGTGACGCATATGATCATGCTAATTCAGTCATTTAAATGTTCTTTTATAACCTCGAGGACTACTAGAGAAGATATTTCTTCATTTCACTGTTATTTCTGGACAGGGATTAATGTTCACAACCCAGTCAAACCGAGATTGTGAAATGCCTCCCCTTGACAAGCCCTGGATAAAAAGAATGGAGGGTAAACATGTTTGGATCACAAAAACTCTCAGCAACAGCTCTGGAAGAAATTGATATTGATGATTCAGCATCAGGCAAAATACCTCCAGATGTTAATGAGGAATTCTTCTGCCGTCAAAAATGCTCACTTAATCACATCTGGCCCAAAAACAATCGCTTTCAGGGATCGATGATGGAAGAGCTGGAGAGAACGCCCTGAAAACTGAGTGCCCAAGCACAGCTGTCATCTAGTAATTTATTACCTGCCTAATGAAATTTTCATATTTTGCTTCCTCTGCCACTGCCATTTGAGTTATCCATTGTTCAGACCAGATGCTGAAATTTCCTCATTGGGAAACCAGGTCCATAGGTTGGACTGAGATTCAAACGGCACTGGCACAGAGCAAGCTTTCATACCGCTTGAGAGTCAAAAGAAATGTGGTTTTCAAGTATGAAAACGCCAAATATGCCAAATATTTCTCCAATAAAAGGGGCACGGTGACACAATACTTAGCTTAAGTGTAGATGCTTTTAACTGAGAAATTCCTTTGATACCATTCTCATCATGCATTCAGAACGATTATTCAGCATTGTTGTAAAGCAGGGATGTCAAACTCGATTTCATTGACAACTGCATCAGGATTGTGTTTAATTGTGGAGGGGGGCGTGGCCAGGGTGGGTGTGGCCAGCTCGACATCATTCCTGTTGGGGGCACCTGTGGCAGCTCAAGCGCTCTGCCGAGGCTCCCGAGCTCCGTTTTCGCTGGCAGAAGCACCGTGGGCCAGTCCTTCACTATTTCCAGGCTGGTTTCACAGGCCAGATCGAAGTACCTCACAGGCTGGATCCTGCCCCCGGACCTTGAGTTTGACACCCCTGTTGTAAAGGATGTTAAAATGGTGAATTTAAAAAAAAAAAGAATCCATGCAAAGAAGCACCCATTTTTCATGCACATTATAATCAGCACGCGCAACATACACTTTGGGGAGAAGGAACAAAATGGCATTTTCTATTTACATTGCCGGTGGCATAAGTACCAAGCTCTGTCCTCAAGAACTTACTATTAAATAATAACATTCCTAAACCAAGATGTTTTCAGTTCTGCCTTCTGGTTTTGAAGGCTACTTTCATGCATGCAAAATGCAAAAACCGCCCAAATCCTATTGCAGCACCTAAACCAGTGGTGAAATCCGAATTTTTTTTACTACCAGTTCTGTGGGCGTGGCTTGGTGGGCATGGCAGAGGAAGGATACTGCAAAATCCCCATTCCCTCCCCAGTCCTGGGGGAAGGATATTGCAAAATCTCCATTCCCACCCCACTCTGGGGCCAGCCAGAGGTGGTATTTGCCGGTTCTCCGAACTACTCAAAATTTCTGCTACCGGTTCTCCAGACCCTGTCAGAACCTGCTGGACTTCACCCCTGACCATAGGATGGAAGAGGGGAGGTCTCAGACTTTCTCTTCTAGAAGCCACACAACACAGAACATTTGCAGTTCGCTGCTTTGAGTTACTAATAGAGGTGGGATAAAAATCAAATCAAATAAAAAATATTATTTTCCCCCCCCTAGTTGGGAATGTGGTTGTTCCCTCTTAATGATAAAAGTGAAGGGGAAGGAACCACATCGGGTCGATTGCATGGAGCAGATCTCTTCACTTCTTCCTTTTGAGCCCCACTCCACCCCCACCCCCTAAATCGGGACCGAAATGCTGCTGCTCTTTTGTTGACAGCTGCGTGTCAGTAGAAGGAGGAGAAGGCATTTCGAATTATCTTCAGTTCCTCTGCTCACTGCATCTCCCTGTTGGTTGGCCCCTCCGAGCAGCCTGGAGACCTACTCTCCAGTTAGGAGTGTAGCTCAACTTTCTGCCACGTGAACCCCCCCTTCCCCCCCCCCCCCCCAGTTAGATTCTCATTGCATTCTTTGCAGCCTCTGGAGCAGACCAAGGCAACACAAGCTGTTCTTTCATTCCTCCATACTGTCTTTATGATTGTCTTTACATAGACTGTAGAAAACTGTCCTGAATTTTCTCTTTCCGTTTGTGTATATGGGGACCTAAACGATCCCAGCAAGGGAAAGATTGGCTATGGTGCCCTCCCTGCTGTGGGGTTCATCCGGGCCAATTCCTGTCCCCCTCCATTGACATTTGTGGTAGCCTTTCCACCCACGGGAGAAATCTGAAAATTAATTAAGGTGGGCAAAGGCTTGATGTGCTGGTTATTATAGTCATTGGTTTGTGGCAGTTATGACTCTAATGCGGAAGCTGTTCTTTCAAACAGCAGGATCAATTACTAAATAGAGCGAGTGCTTAGCGGACTGTTACTAACTGCATTCCTCTCCTTTCTCTCTCTCTCTCTCTGCACAGTGCTGTGGTTCTTGATGGAAAAATTTATGCCACTGGTGGAATTGTCAGCAGCGAAGGCCCCGCCCTAGGAAATATGGAAGCTTATGACCCCAACACCAACACATGGACGCTGCTTCCCAATATGCCATGTCCGGTGTTCCGGCACGGCTGCGTAGTCATTAAAAAGTACATTCAGAGCGGTTGACGCCATCAGAAACTTGGCTTTTGCCTGCTGAAAGCAAGCCGAGCGAGCGTTCCTGCAGAGAGAAATCAGGAGAATACAACAAAAGAACATCTTGTCTAAAGTCATGACTAATCTCTACGCTGAATGTAGAAAATCATCCTCACTTTTTGATAAACAATGAGCAGAGACTGCATACTGTGGACAAGAACAGGATTTAACACCCGTGTGCCACTAGGTGTCACCGTGGTGTTTGCTACAGACATGGGCTTTTGGTCTACGCAGGTGCAATAACATTGTTGTTTCAAAGAGGGGAATGAAATGAACAGTGTGCGTTCTACTTTGCTGAGAGCAAATTCAGTTGTTGAAGTTACTGTGCCGGTTTGGCTTTGCTGCTACATATTAAGCATTGGGGGCTACATGAAATGAAGGGCAAAGTGTCCTTATCACTTTGATGGCTACCTTTTTGTTTTTAAACCAACATGCGCTTTTCAAACAGTGATCAAGAGCAAACGTCCCTCGCCGAACACACCAACTGAGGTCAGTCTTCCATCAAAGCCAATGTTTATTACAGCCCGAGAGCAAAGCTAACAAGGCATAGAGGTGTGCCTGTCCATCTCCTAGCATTCCACATCCTTTGAATGAAAAGGTTTTCTGAAACTGTACCCCAGTGTGAAAGGTCTGGTTGCGGGAGGGGCCTGCTTCTGCCCTATGGCTGGGGTTTTTGTTTTTTTTTCCTACTGTATGAACAAAAATCGCAGCTACCTATCTGTAAAACAAGAGACATCTAGGAGCTTTTTATTAAACTTGTATTTCTCTGTTCAGAGATTAGACCGAAGAGTTCTCCATTGGGTTTCCTATTTTGAGCCAGTGATTTGAGGCAAGGCCTTGGGTGGGGATGGGGAGGTTGTGATTGTCACTGAGTGCTAATCCAGTAGCCAGAACATATAGGTCACGGTCTATATTTTTGTCAAATGAATCTTAAAGAAGAAGGAAAAAAAAGTCCTATTTTTTCAAATTCTCTCCTGCTCCTTTCCTTTGCCAAATGTACGTTAAGAGTCTTAAGAAAAGTCCTCTTCTGCTCAAGAGGCTTCGGCGGCCGCATTTGAAAGAAGAGATGGTTTTGCAGCTTCTCGCGAGGGTTTAACAATAATAATTGAGAATGCAGTCTTGTTCGATCCTCCTTTTAGCAAGACGGTATGGGGAAAATGGTTCCTCTGTAGAGTTGTAAGTATAATACACAGCAGGGCTATATTTTTATACGTATATTAAAATATTGTACATTCAGAGAAGCGTTGTGATGTGAAAAATTCTTTATAAAAATTGTAAATGGAGCAGATCGGACGGCTGACAGCTGGGACAACAGGGTTGCAATCGTAACAACAAACATATATATTATGATTAATCCTGTGCAAGGGGAGATTATGGTTGATTTTCTTTGCAGCAGCTGGGGAGGGAACAGCGGTCACTGTTTGTTTGCTGAACTTCATCACGGCCATTATTAAGACCATTTTTTTCCCCCAACTGAAGTACAGAATGCCAGATACTGTCGGGTGAAAGGGGAACCTGGAGCTCTTTTTCTTTTTCCATAGCAGACATCAATTTTGTCCATAAGGGGATGTGATTTGTTAAGTCACTACAAACTGAATGGAGCGGGGGGGGCGGGGGGGGCTACTGGCCATGAACAGCCTATTTTTTCAACTTTTCAGATGTTCCCATGGTGACACTCCATCTTCCTTCCTTTCTTTTTTTTAACCCTGTTCCAGGTAATTGGTCACCATGATAGGGACATTACGATGGCATCAAAACACTATTAGGGTGATAAATGGTTTCCAGAAGCATCCCTAGAGCAGGGGTAACACGGACTGTCACCTTTGTACCTGAGCACATCTGCTTGGAAGCAAATCCCACCGATTTCAGTCTGCCTCTTCCAAGTGGGCTTAGCATCATAGCCTTACTCTTGACTTGTAGAAAGTCAGAGAACTGCAGCCAATGCCTTCATGATTTTGATACCAAATACGTTTTCTTTTTAAATTGGGACATTTTGGATAACTATATTAGAGATGGCTGGCCAATCACACTGAAATTATTTTGGTAAATATCAATTTTTAGAATGCAGTTATTACTATTAAATTTGTACCTTACCGTATCTCAAAATAATTGCTCACATAGGCAGCAAAATGACATCTCTCCCATGGCATAGAGGATAGCATTCAAACTTATTATGCAGTTGTAACTAATTCTTTAAAGGAACTAAGTCACGCAAAGCTTTTTTTTTCTTTTTGTCAACCATGATGAAAGTGTAAATTTGAAAAAATTGGCACAAAAATTCCTCACTGCCTGGGGCAGGCTGAGTTTTATGATATTGGTGTCTTTCTACCTCCAAAGGAGGTGCTAGCGTGTAAGCCTTGCTAAGCATTTAACATCTCCGAATTTACCTTTTTCTTTCTTTCTTTTCCTCACACTGGAGCAAAACTGGCTATTTCCGTGCATACTAAAAACAGGGTTGTCTGTAATTATATTGTATATATGTTTACTGTTCAATTCTTGTTGAAATAAATCTATTTCTAGATCTAGATTGAGCATTAAGTGGATTTTTTTGAAGTACCGTATTTTTTGGTGTATAAGATGCACTTTCGCCCCCCAAAAAAGTGGGTGGAAATGTCTGTGCATCTTATACAGTGAATGTTGCTGAAGCCCTGCCCACCCACCGACCCCCACCCACCGGCCTCTGCCTCCCAGCAATTTACCTCCTTGCAGCAAACAGCCTCGTCAGCTTCAGCACAGCCTGATTTAGCACAAGCAGCTGATTGGTGGTTGGATCAGCCTCCCAGAATACCGCCTATCAGCTGTTCCAGGCTGCGGGGATCGTCGCCACCCATCACTGCTGCTGTCCTATTGCCACCTCCACGCGCCCCATTTTCAGCCTCAGTGTGTCCCATTTTTGGTGGTGTTCCAGGTGGCAGGGATAGGCAGCGGTGGTGGTGATCCCCACCACCTGGAATGGGCCAAAAATGGGATGCATAGAGGCCGACAATTGGGCGTGCAGAGGCCAAAAACAGGACGCACGGAGGCTGAAAATGGGGCATGTGGAGGCGGTAATAGGTGGCAGTAGCGATGGGCGGTGGCAGCAGGCAGTGGAGATCCCTGCAGCTTGGAATAGCTAATAGGCAGTATTTCGGGAGGCCAGTCCAACCACCAATTAGCTGCTGTGCTGCAGCTGACCAGGCTTTTTGTTGTTTGCTGCAAGGAAATAAATTGCTGGGAGGCAGAGGCAGATTTTTTTCCCCTTGTTTTCCTCCCCAAAAGCTAGGTGCGGATTGTACTTTGGAGCCTCTTATAGTCTGAAAAATACGGTAAGTGGCATTATGTTTTAAGTCAGGTTAGCTTCTAGCTGCGGAAGCCAAATGTTTGTACTTTGGGGAGATTAATCCGAATAATTAATATTTCATCAAATATTTAAGGTATGTTTAACCATCCTTTCATGTCAACATATTATATTTATTTGTGCAATCACTTTGAAACCATTTGTGACTTTTAGTAAAATATTTCAATCTCAGAGAAGACCCGCACAAATGAGAGCACACCAAGAGTGGACCAAGAGCATTAGTAAGGAATAAAACACATTAAATTGGCCTTAGCTAGTTTTTAGTCAGTTTACTATATCCCAGCCATTGATTCTCACAAAGACTAACTGATTCATCCATTTTAACAGATGTCTGCACAACACTACATGCTTTGAGATCTCAATCAGCAATCAATGAAATGTTTTTGTTTCTCCACAGTAGCTCATTCTGGACAAAGGAAATCAGTTTTGTTACAACTTAGTTCTTGAACAATCCACAAAGTGCTTTCATGATATACGTCAGAGGTGGGGAACTATGGCCCTTTAATGACTTGTGGACTTCCACTCCCAGAAAAATCGCCTCAGCAATTTCCCTATCCTTCGCCTATACTCGGATGTTGCCCTTCAGTCATGGCTGGTACTGCCTTGTGGTACCGGGGTATAGTCATCGGGGCATAGTTGCAGCGTGTGAGGAACAGGCGGATATGAAATTTTGCATTTTGAAATATTATGTCATTATCATCAGTGGTGGCTCAAGTTGAACCAACAGATTATTCTACCCTGCTTCATAAATATATCGCATACATTTTATACCAAATATGTATTTCATGAAAACACTTTGGTGTCCATATTGCTAGCTATTACTAGCTGTATTCATCTGATAAACTGAGTCACAATGATGCCATTATTTAATTCATATAATACACTGAATCTTGATTACACAGGGTGGGTTAATGCAACAATCAAGACTTGTGTTTATTAGCTGGTTTGTGGAACAGCATATAATACACGTTCATTGTGGCGAGACCTCCCAATAAAAATGCTGCCCGCCCAACACCAAATTAGAAAATCTGGATGACCAGTAATAGCCTAAACAGCTTTTTCAAAACTAACTGAATGCAAAATAATAACAACAACAACAATAATAATATAAAAGGGAGAAAAATGAGAAGAAACAAAAATGTAAGATGCATATTTACAGGCATACATATTTCAATAAATTGATGCCATAATTCATAGCAGACATCCATAGTTGATCTATAATAATTATACCACATGGATGTCACCAGCTTCAGGTCTTCAGCACTTTCCAAATGGCCAGCAGAGCTAAGGCTCATTTGGTCTCGGGTGCTCCAGAGACCAATATCTAAATCTTCTGAGGGCATAAACTGGCCTGTGGTTTTGGAAGCGAATTTATCTTGGTTTTCATTTTAAAGCAGAAGACAGACATATAGAGTGAGGGAGAAGGAGAAGGAGGACAATGAGAGAATATATATCAATTCAATAGATAGGTATAAATTTAACACAACTTATAATAAAGAGCCTTGGTGGCGCAGCAGACTAAAGCATTGTTAAGTAACACCAGATGCCTGCAATTATTGCAAGTTCAAATCTCACCAGGCTCAAGGTTGACTCAGCCTTCCATCCTTTCGAGGTAGGTAAAATGAGGACCCGGATTGTGGGGGCAATAAGCTGACTTTGTATAAAAAAGAACACCACTTGGGGGGGGGGGCGAAAGCCCTACTAAGCAGGTATATACAAAAGTATGAAGTCTTGCTTAACGCATTGTAAGCCACCCTGAGTCTCCGGAAAAGGGCAGCATATAAATCGAACCAATAATTAAATAAATAAATAAACTTTTCACATATCTCCTGATACAGACGAAATACAGTATATACATTTTATCTCTTAGCTTTAAAATCAGGTATAATGTCAATGGGATTGAACAAAAGGTGACATACAGGGAGATATTGGGCATAAAAGTTTATGCTTTGGTCCTGTGGTACATAGCCACGATTGTTAAATTTAAATCTAGCTTCAAAGCAGTTTATATAGCTTTTTACTTTTATAAAAGAACATATAAGTTACTTTTATGATACTTAACATATCTTCTTAATGTGCTTTTATTATATTATTTTGTATGTGTGTGTATGTATGTGTGGGTTCTAAAAGATAAAAAAAAAGAATCAGGTTATCAGAGTGTCAGTAACACCTGAAAATTTTGAATTCAGCTCTTTGCAAGCCAATTGCAGAGAAACGTTATGCATTTTTAATTCTAGTGACCTAATAGGGTTGGATCCAAACATAGGTATACTGATCCATTAAAATCAATAGCATTTAAGTTTAATGAGAGCTAAATCAAACTTCACTGATTTCAAGGAATAGAAATGGCAAAATTGGACACTGATATTCTAGGAATTAGGAAATTTTTTTAAAAATGGGATGAGTCCCTTTAAATCTGAATAGTACCAAGTCTCAACCTTGTGGGTGTGTAAATTGCAATAAAAAAGCAGAGTATCAAAAGGTATCAAAGTCTATATTCACGTACCTCTCCACACACTAACACAAGGATCTCAATTTAAGACAAACACAAGCTAATGAATATTACAGTGATCCAAGTCTATGTTTCAATTACAGACAAAGAGGAAATGGACCAATGGAGGAAATGGATTTGCAACACTTGTTGACTAAATACCAAAAAAGATGTTGCACTAATTATAGGAATGCTGAAATCAGAAATAGAATGGCATCTGGAATTAAGTTGGCCTTGGTGCATGAAATGAATTAGAAAACAGATCAACAATTTTCCTACTTTGTTGCTCAGCAACTTTTTCTAATTTATATCTTCAACTATTCTACGTTTTCTTTAGTTTCTTCTTCAGTTTTGATCCTTCCTTAAATTCAAGAACTTCCTTTGCCTGGTCCTCCTCCATCATGTGGTCCTTTTGAATTCCTTTCCAAAGTCCCTAGAAACATCAGTATAAGACTGTGATTTCAGGAGAGAGAGATGTGGGAAGGCAATAATACCCTTAAAACATCATATGGTCTTTGGTGATACTGTTTTTTTTATTACATACATTCACTGAAACTAAACAAAGACCAGACAAAACTTTCTGTGAATTTGGAATTATCTGAATTTCAGATAACCTATTTGTACCTCCTCCATTTTTTACTTTAAAAGTTTGTTATTTGGTTCATGGCAGTCAGTCAGATGTTCGGATTGGATGTGGACTCACCTACTGAGTTCTTCCCAGGGACCTGTGATAGGCAGATGTTAAGGTTTGATAGTGTCCAAAGTATCATTGCAGGATGTAAGCTGTTCCAAGTAAACTAAAGCTGCCTTTTGCAGTTGACTGATGGTGATTTTATCAATGCTAATGGTGTTCAAGTGGTGCTCCAGATCAGGGGTGAAATGCTCCCGGTTCAGACCAGATCGCCCGATCCGGTAGTGATGGAGGCGGGTGGTTCGGAGAACCAGTAGCAAAAATTCCTGACCCCCCCCCCCATGCCCAGCTGAGTCGCACAATCATCAGAGGCTTTTTTTTTACTTTTAAAAGCATTTTTTCTACAACCTCTTCAGCCCAAAAAATGCTTTTAAAAGTTAAAAAAAAAAGTCTCTGATGATCACGCAGCTCAGTTGGGATCGTCAAAGGCTTTTAAAAGAAAAAAACCCTTTTTTTTCTTTTAAATGCCTCTGACGATCCAAGCTGAGTTGCCTGATCGTCAGAGCCTTTTGAAAGCATTTTTTTACAACCTCTTCACTGAATAAGTTGTAGAAAAAAATGGTTTTAAAAGTTAAAAAAAAAATTGGCCACACCCACCCAGTCACATTACCCCCCACCAAGCCACGTACACAGAACCGGTAGTAACAAATTTTAGATTTCACCACTGCTCCAGATGTTTGAACTGCACCCAAGATGTCTATTACTATTGGTACTCTCTCTGCTTTGTTTTCATCATCATCATCATCCTAGCCATCGTCTATCCACTGAGGATGAAGGCCTCTGTGCTGTCCCAATCATTCACAAACACACACACATAACTGAGGTTTAGTGAGTTTAATATTTCCAAGTAACTACCTTCACCAAAAAAAAACCAGAACTGTTCCAATTAAGTCCAGCCATGTGCAGACCAATACTAGTCCAAGGGAACAATAACCAAAGAGTCCACAAGGCACTTGAAAGTTTCTCAATCAAATTCACCAGACAAACCTAAATCCACAACACAAGAGAGTTCATGAGGCAAGAAAAGTAGGGCACAATCCAAGTCAAGGCCCAGTGTTAATCCAAAGCAAGGCAGGACTCACAACCAGAAAACACACAGCTAGGAAACAAACATGTTGTTCCCATCATCGCCTCCATCAGTCTGCTGTGCTAAATAGCAGGCTTCTGGTGCAGCCCATCAAGAAGGGTGAGGCTTTGTCCTCATAAGTAAACTGGCTGACCTTCTCTGCTCCTGCCCTTTCTCTGCCCTACATGTTCTTGGATCAGGTGCAGAAAGCAGTTCTTCCTCCTCCTCACTGACCGGCTGCAGCTGCATGTGTCAGGGTTCCGACAGATGTGAGTTGACAGCATGCTTTCCCCATCTAGAGCCTTCACCAAATCCCTCACAGATGACTGCTCAGAGGCATCAATCAACTTAGCTCCTGACATGCCAGGAACTGGTTCAAACTCCCCTGAGCTGACAAGTAGAGCAGTATCTGGGAAAGCATCTGAGAGAGTCATCACAGCCTCTTCCGCATGTTTCCAAACAAAACGATCCTGAGCAGTGGTGACATCCAATTTTTTTTATTACCGGTTCTGTGGGTGTGGCTTGGTGGGCATGGCTTGGTGGGTGTGGCAGGGGAAGGATACTGCAAAATCTCTATTCCCACTCCACTCCAGGGGAAGGATACTGCAAAATCTCCATTCCCACCCCACTCTGGGGCCAGCCAGAGGCGGTAGTTGCCAGTCTCCGAACTACTCAAAATTTCCACTACTGGTTCTCCAAACTGCTCAAAATTTCCACTACTGGTTCTCCAGAACCTGCTGGATTTCACCCCTGATCCTGAGCTTTTTTTTGCCAGTTGGGCCCGCAATACTTGCTAATGTCATTGTTCCATTTTTTTAGGTCTCTTTTGTGGATGCTTTTTATCAAGTGGAATCCATTCTATGACTGCCTTATCCACCTACTGTGTAACTAGCTCATTTCCATTTCCATTTTTTTTACTCTCTTGATGATATTGTATATTTTCATTTGTTCTCTAATCCATGTGCAGGTCTTTCTATCATGTCTTGTGATGCTGAGCTTGTATCATTCCACGGCTCTTTTGCCATTCATAGCTTTTGTTTCAATTGTGAGGTTAGTGTCCATGTGTCACTGCCATATGTTAGAACAGGTAGCACACACTGATCAAAGACTTTCAGGCATAGGGGCAAGTTGTTCTTGAAAATTGCCCTTAACTTGCCAAATGCTTGCCAGCCATATTTAATATGCCATTCAATTTCCTTTATTGTATCACCTTCGGTTGAGATCCATTGGCCAAAGTAAGTGGTCTACTACGTCTAGTTCTTCTCCAGATAGGGTTATTCTCTTTTTTAGATGTATTTTTAATCCAAATGGTTCTTCTACTTTGTGCAGCTCTTGTATGTGTCTTTGTAACTCTTCTGGGTCTTGTGAGAAGAGAACAATGTCATCGGCAAATCTTAAATGATTTAAATAGTTGCTATTGATTTTCATTCCAGCTTTTGCCCAGTCTAGTTTGCAAAATACTTCTTCAAGGCAGGCTGAGAAAACGATAGGGGATATTGTGTCACCATTTATTTTTCATATATTGATTGTAGTAAGTTTATGTAAGCAATTTCTACGCTTTGGTTGAGCAACGCATTAATTATTGCTTGCTGGAATACTGAGTCAAACACCTTTTGCTAGTTAATGAAAGCCATGCACAGAGGCATGGTGTACCCATTGTGCCTTTCAATCACTCATTGAACAACCTGGATGTGACCCATTGTGCTGTAGCCACTTCTGAACCCTGCCTCCTCCTTTGGCTGTGCATAATTTAATGTTCTCAATATTCTTTTTGCTATTATCTTGGTGAAAGCCTTGTAGATGACTGAAAGAAGGCTTATTGAGTGACAGTTCTTTAAATCATCTTGGGCCCTTTTCTTGTGTATAAGAATCACTTCAGCATTTTTCCATGCATTGGATATTTTTTCTTCTCTGAGGCATCTCGAGTATAGTTTTGCTAGTATCTTGTGTAAACTGACCACCAGCTTTCAGTATTTCAACTGTACCAAGGTTGTTTCCTGAAGCTTTGCCATTTTTCATTGATTTTATGGCACTTGATACTTCTTCTGATAAGATTCTGGCATTTCCTCTTTCATGGGTGTGGTTACTTTTGAGTGATCTTGATATTTGTATAGCTCTGAATGGAATTTTCCAATTATTTCTAACATTTCCTATCTTGTTCTATGCACATCTTCACATTTTAATGCAAAAACCTTTCTTGTATTTATAAGAAAAACTTTTGTTGTATTTTATGCTCATTAATCCCTTTCTTTTGTTCAATTGCCTTTTTCACAAGCTTCATGTTAAACTGACGTGTTTCTTCTTGGACATGTTTTCTGATGGTCTTGTAAAGTTCAATGTAATCCAATTTATTAGTGAAACTTCCAGTATTCTTCATTGTCCGTTGTTTTTTCATTAAATCAATAGTTTAATTACAGATTTCTGACTGTACAAGTGTTTTTCCGGCGGTGCTATAGATATAGCAGATTTGAGGATATTTTTGACTATTTGTTCATTTCAATCTGTAATGTTCATCTTTTCCAAATCTTGCAATACAGCGAAGCAGTTTGATAAATTAATCTCAAAATCACTGTGCTTTTCTAATCATTTCTCACTCTTTATTTTAGTTCTTCCTGACATCTTTATCATGTTCATGCACTCTCATTTAACAGTCTATCTTCACTTTAACTTGTACCACTTTATGGTCACTTCCAACATTAGAGCAATTGATGACAATACAAATTGCAGAATATGGTTTTATCGCTTGACATGATACAGTCAATTTCGCTTGTGTACCCATGTCCATTTTCTGCTAGCCTTTTTCTTGTAAAATGAATTCATGATCTAAAGTTCCTGTTCTTCAGCAAAATCTGTCCCTGAAGGACAGGAACTTCTGCTTTCTTTTACTACAATTATTCAAATTCTATTTGCAGGATCTTTGTATTTTGTGATTTTTCTCCCTTTCTTCTTAATTCTATCTTTCTATGCATTTGCTCTTAAGGCTTGGTCTTATGCAGCTTTGTCTCTTTATTCAACTTTCCTGCTCTCAGGCATTGCCCGATCTTGTTACTATCTGCTTTGCCTGCTGTTTTGTTTAATATAATGGCCATGTAATGCATTGTCTTTCCATAGCTCTTTTCTGTTCTTCATTTGGTCATTCTTGTACGCCACTTTGGTCTCTCTAGTATTCAGTAAGCCTTCCCGGTGTTCTAACTTCAGTGTATTTTCTTCAATACCCTTCAGATATTCTTCCAATGCTCTTTTTCTTCTTCTATCATCTGAGCTACTTGCAACTTTCCTCACCCACTCATTTTCTTGGTAAATAGAGTCTGTCAACATTGCTGTATGGATGAAGGGCATGAATCATTTTCATTATCCATCTGGTGTTCCTATCCAGGGCCTTTAGTTCTTCTACAGTCCAGCCCACTGTTCCAGCTTTGTATCTAATGACTGGAATTGCCCTGGCATTGATTGCCTTGGTGGTATATTTCCTCCACTGAATTTGGACTTTAGGATCTTCTTCACTTTCCTCATGTATTCACTTCTAACGTTTTTCTTGACTTCAGTGTGCTTGATGTTGTCAGCTTGAAGGATGCTCAGATATTTTGTAGTGATCATCTTCATCCAGACTCTTGATGTGATTTCCGTAGGGCATGTTGATTCCTTCACTTTTCACTATTTTTCCCCATTTGATGGTGAGGGTGGCGACAGTGTCCAGCTGTTATTCTATTTCAGATGGGCTTTTTCCATGCAGCTTCAGATTGTCCCTCTAAAGGATATAGGGTAGTCTGGCAGATGTTTTGATGTTTGAGAGACATGGCCTGAGTTATTCAATATTTTTGACAGAGAAATCAGTGCAATAACAAATAGTAATGGTGATACATATCTCCCTGAAATATTCCGCTTTTGATACTAATCTCTCTCATTCTCTCACCATTGATTTGTAATATTTTCCATTGTGCCACAGATCTTGGGCAAAGCTTCTGCTGTTTCTATTGACTTGTGTTATTTCTAGGCACTTGATTATCCAATCATGTGGCATGGAATCAAGTGCCTTCTTGTAATTAATCCGTACTACATTCAACTTGGTCTTGCTTTTCTTCCAGTTTCCCAGAATCCTTTTGTCAACCAGGAGCTGAATTTTTGTTCCTCTATTGTTGGGGCAGTTTTCTTTCTGCTCAGGTGGAAATAACTTTTTCTCAGCTAGACATGTTGGACTGTATTAGTTACCAAATGTTAGCAATTTGAAAGTTGTTAGTAAACAGGTAATTGGCCTGCAGTTGCCAGGTGCTCCCCTTTTGCTGGATTTTTCCAGTCAGGTTTTTCAACCAAAAACCATGTAGTTCATCTTCATCAAGAGCCGAGGTGGTGTAGTGGTTAGAGTGCAGTACTGGAGCTACTTCAGCTGACTGCTAGTTCAGCAGATCAGCAGATCAAATCTCACCGGCTCAAGGTTGAGCCTTCCATCCTTCCGAGGTGGGTAAAATGAGGACCCAGATTGTTGGGGGCAATATGCTATTTAGTATACTGTCTTTGGTGTAAGCTGCCCAGAGTCCTCGGAGAGTGGGCGGCATAGAAATATGACAAATCAATCAATCAATCAATCAATCAATCAATCTGGTGTTGATCAATTATTGATCTTCTTTGCTTTTTTCCACCATTTCTGTTGCTATTACAAATTCTTTCATTTCAGTCTTTTTAAAAAAATTATTATCCACCCCCTTTAGCCAAGCTGTTGTCTTATCATATTTCTTTGGCTTATCTCATGTCTGCATCCAAAATTGCACTGTGTCTTCCTTGTCAAGTGTTGATTGTTTCAATGCATTATCTCAATTGATGGATTGGTAGAAATGTTTCTGATTGGATTGAAATTGGACACTTTGCCTGTAATTTGGGATTGTAACTTCATTCTGCTGATCTTCTTGGCTGTAGCTGTTATTTGCTGCTTTATTATTTCCAATTATTCCTTGATCTTCCTTGTTTTTAGGTGATATTTCTTGACCCAGTATTATTTGGTCTTGTTCTTCAGGTTCTGTTTTTTCATCTGTTCGTGCTTGCATCTGATCACAGCTTGCCGATCTTATTTTCCAGCCCGATCTTCCATTTTGGTAGTGTACCATTTAGCTGTTTTTCCTCTTTATTGATGTTGCATCCCAGGTATTCAGTTATAACTGCAGCTATGCTTTATATGAGTTGGATGTTTCTTGCAGTGAGCTGGTGTTTATATTTGCTATTACAGTATTGGCATCTTTCAATGCTTGTGCTAGCTGTTACTTTGGAACTTCTTTGGAGGCTTCAGTGCAGGCAACCTTATTCTGTGTTTTTGTGAATGCTCAGTGATTCTTTGTTTCAATTCTTCTACTACTTTCATTAGAGAGCTTTGTGGTTTCTGAGGCAAAGAATAGAGTCCTGGTTTCCAAATATAAACAATTCAATAGCTGTGCTGGCTTCTTCTACTGCCAATTCCCCCTGGTTTGCCTTTACAATTTGAGTTACTTCTTCTAAGGCTGCTGGCCCTGGTTACTCAGTCAGAAGCCATGAGTCCTGGACATTTTCCACCAAATGTCCAGGAACTCCAAAACCTAACACAGTTCCTGTAACCTGGGCAATGACCAAGCTGGTATGCGTCTCTTTTAATTACGTCTCACAATATTTTTATGGCAGAGACTCTGTTCGTCTGTCTCCTCTAGTGAGGAGGAGGTTGAACATTTGCCCAGATGGAACATATTAACTTGGCTGGAATGGATGTTGCCCAAAGGATGCTTGATGTCTTCCATCTGGGTGTTCTTGAGTTCTTCTTCTCTTAACATCCCAGGTACTCAGGACAGAAACTTGCAAGGCACGACCACCTGTATCACATTCAAATTGCTGGAAGCCTTTTCCTGACTGTGATCTCCAGACAAGAAGTGGATTCCAAAAGCAATTTCTTCAGGAGCATCATTGGTGGTGAAAGAGAATTTTCCTAATAAAGATAGTCATCATGTTACAATTTCAAATTGTATCAAATTTGGACCAATTGCCGCTGTTGTTGTTAAATGAAGAGGTGTAAAATCTGATGCCACATGACTGCATCTCTTAGCCACAGCAATCCAGCCAGTCCTGGTTGTCCCAGGTTGGATTAAGCCATAAACAGAGGGAGTCCCAAAATGGAGTACAGGTGTCTTTGAATTCACTGAAATAGATTAAGAAGAAGTAGGTTAGTACAGAATCACGTTAGTACAATCCTGCATTTGAGGAGAAACAAGATCTTCCTATTTTGAAAATATATAAGTATTTCAATGAAAAAAACAACACACACATTAAATTAGGTTGACTCAGCCTTCCATCCTTCCGCGGTGCGTAAAATGAGGACCTAGATTGTTGGGGGCAATAGGCTGACTCTGTAAACCGCTTAGAAAGGGCTGTAAAGCATTATGAAGCGGTATATAAGTCTAAGTGCTATTGCTATCACAGCAATTTTATCCAATGAAAACTAGCCAAGTTGAAAGATACAATAATTTAAGTTGATGAATAATATCTCAACAAAATTTAGCAGGCAGAATATTAGCAAGATTTTTCATCACATTGGCCTTTGGAACAATTCAGCCAAGCATATCAAGACACACTAAATTCTATTTCTAATGCCACAAGAGAGTGCATTCTATCTAAAATCTCTTATTTCACGGCTGAATTTTATAGCTTAATTATGAGTCATCCTTGGCTCTTCCACATCCCTGGTATAGAATACTGAAGAATTTGAAAATCTCAGAAAAGTTCATGGAAAAATTAAGAGAGAAATTTTGTCTTCACTTTTTTTGCATGACTCCTATGTAACTCTCCTATGAAACAGCTTCCCAATATGATTATTTCAGGTATGTTCAATGAACATGGCATTTCATCTTTGTCTATGTTGTATTTGGTAAACATTTTTGGATAGGTATACCTGAGAAATCCTGAGAATATTCTTAGACTCTAATTGCTCTCGTCTTTCTCTCTCTTCATGAACGTGGAAAATTTCGCTGTTGTAGCAGAAATGCAGATAGCAACAAAAATGTAAGTTAACCATGAAATACTCCAATATGAAGGCTTAATTTAGCAACATTTCTAGACATTTTTCCATTTAATTCACTAGATTTCCTCTTGGACTTTAAATATGAATTTCAGTGGTGCTCTTTGATTTTATTTTTAAAGCTTTCTGAAAGTAGGGTCCATTCACTTACAATATAGTTGTCAGTCGAATGGATTTTCCCACAGTCCCTCAAACTGCAAGGAAAACTCTTAGTGTGTAGTGCAAATCTAATTTCATGACTGCTGAGGCCTACTCATGCTGAAATCAATCCCTATTTTAAAGTGGCAAAGAAATGTACTTTAGTCCACTTTTTTTTAACAGCAGCAAATATTAAACACTTGGCATATGAAAATCTTGGTGCTAAGATAACTGCAAGTCCTGATGAGTTTATTTTAAAAGGGCAATGGTATAGTATTATTTTCTGCATTATTGTTTGTTTTATCAATTTAAGCTTAAAAAGTATAAATATTACTTTAGCATTCAGAATCAGAAATATTGACCATATTCAGAATGATGCAAAGACATATATCAAAATACTTACTCCGTCCCCACTACGACCTGTGATTGGGAATCATCATCTTCTTGATTGGAATACAAAGTAACCTTGTTACCTTGACACCTAGATACTGAAAAGAATAACCATTGTGTTGCAAAATTGATTTTATTTTTACTACCAAATGTTGCATGATAACATTTCAACAGAATAAAAATACGTAATGTCTTAAAAACTGTATCATTTACCTTTTGTATGCAATCAGGTGTTTCTTTGGACTGTTTTCTTGCAGAGCCTGAAAAACGTTAAACAAATATTTTAGAACGAAGTAGAAAGCCATCAATTGAAATACCTCTATTTGTCTCCAAGAAACAGAAGGACAAATCTTACCATCTTGGTCTTCTTCCCCAGATGGGTAGAGATACGAGATGGGAGCAGACGTCATCAATTGTCTGCTCCTGAGCACTTACCGGTTCTTTTGTCTTCTCAGTTTCTTTTGAGACCTCCTGTAAAAAGAAATTGATGAAGTACAATCCAACTTAACTTTTAATGCATTATAAAATCTCGCTTAAAGAGATTGTTCTAATTTCTTACTATCATGTATGATACAGTCTTCACTCTGCTGATGGCTTTCTGGTACTTTTCATATTTGTCCTTCAGCACCTTGTACTACATTTCCTCTCTGTTGGCATCTCCTGGCAAAAAAACCCCAAAAGAACTAGAATTTAAGATGAAATAAATCACTTTTCTTTTTAGAATGAAAACAATTAAAATGTTGTTAAGTTTCACCTCTAGCCAGCTGCAGGGATAGCTGAAGCTCGCTTTAGTTGCTCTGCTGTTAAAGTGATGTTTTAATGGCACTCTTCTTCCAAGATAAACCTTGCTGTACAAACAATTGACAGGGCCTCCAAGATAGTGTTGATGACAACATGGTCTGAAGCTAGGATCCTCCCATCTCTAGTTTAGTGTAAGGTGATCCTGGGCCTTGTGACTACTAGTTGAATGAATTTTATGCAGCTGTTTGTAAATCGTCAAGACTTCTTATGGAGTCAGCAGTATAAAAATGCTATTAAATCAGTCAGCCTGAGCCAGCTTCTATCCATCTTTCATCTGATTCAGTTATAAGAGAAGACATTGCTACATCTACTGTTCTGGTTCCACTGTTGTGTATAGTGAAGTTAAATTGACAAACAACATAAGATTCAATCTCAGCTTCTTCATTTAGAGCCTAACAGCCCCAAACACTTGGTCAGGACTTTCACCAAATCCCTGGCACATCCCAAGACTACGCATTGGTTTTCCTCAGGATATCAGTGATCCAAAACTGAGGGATGATCTCCCCTCAGCCGCTTCATGTACTCAAGTGAGCAGCCACTGGGTGACTTCTTCTCTCCTCCCTTATTTCCAAGAACTGGTACAACCCACTCTGGACATAGCAGAATTACAAGTTGCTCTCAACTTCCTACCCTTTAAGCAGTCCAGGATGTTTTGGTGAATAATACTGAAGTCCCTAGAAATGTAAAAGACCCAAGAAAGGTCCTGAACCTGTCATCCACAAGCAAACAATGCTGTTTCTGCTCAAGTCTTGAGCCCTACCACTTTTTCAACAATTTCCCTAAAGAAATTGCCAAAGAAGCAGAATTTTGAATCCTGAACTAATCCTAGAGTTACACATGCAAGTTGGCAAGTAAATAAAGAAAACTGAGAATCGCTTACCTCAAAGAGGAGCTTCCCCGCATAATAGAGGAATGTCTCCATCCCTAATGCCCTAAACTAAACTAATCCTAAACTAAAATAAATAAATAAATAAATGAATGAATAAATAAATATTATGTGTATTCTAAGTAAACAAGTAGATTAAATAAGGTAATACTGAAAAGTTAAAGAAAGCCAAAACATGATCTAAGCTACCACTACTCAACGTACACACAAAGAAAAAGTGAGCAACTTTCATCCAGCCCACCCAAATACTTTATTTACTTCCCCTTTGTGAGCTCATCTACCTCTCAGCACCTTTATGAAGCGTGACCTCACAAAGGAAAAGCAAAGCAAACTGATGGGCTGAATGAAGGCTACTCAGAGTTTTATTTGTTTTTCAATATTTCAATATTGGTAAAAATGTCAGTACAAAATCCTGTTGTTGTATTTGGTGGAATCAGAGGATTAGCTAACAAGAAAAATGTCATAGAAAAATTAGTACCAGTGAAGAAAGCAGGGAGATCTCTGGAGAAATATGCACAATTTAGAAAGGAAAATGGTGCAGAGGAGAGAATTGGAGAGATTACTGTAAACTACAGTAGGGCTCTTGCTCCACCCTCCTGTACTTGCCTTTTACTCTTGGGAAAAATAAAACTTTAAGACAAACACAATATTCAAACTTAATTCAGCAACAGCCCTTTATTTTCTACCTGAGCTGTTGATATACATACTGCAATATGTTGCATGACTGTTATTTACTGTGAAATGGTGCACTTTTCTTCCTGTGTTTCTGTCCACAGCAGAGCCTTTTGGATGATCAGAATAAGTAACAGAAAATCTATTACGTTTAGGGAGCATCTGTGTATTGAGCATTAAAATAGAAAGTATTCCTATAAAGTGAGTCATGATGATGTCATTATTTAATCCATACAACACACTGAATCTTAATGACAGAGGGTGGGTTTATGCAACAATCCAAAACTTGTGTTTATTAGCTAGTTTGGGGGACAAATGTGATACCTATTCATTGTGCCCAACCCACACCAAATTAGAGAAGGCTGGATGACCAATAGCCTCAAGTGGTTTTTTTAAAAATTATTATTAACTGAATGCAAAAAACAAAGGAAAATACACAAATTTAAAAATTTAAAAAGGTAAAAGAGAAGAAACAAACACACAAGATGTATATTTACAGACAATAAATTGATGCCATAGTTCATTGCAGACATCCATAGCTGATCTGTAATAATCAATTTTTTGAGATCACGTTTGCATTTCTGGTGCTGATTCTAAGTCTATTTTCTTTGTCAAAAAGTAAAAAATAAAGTGTTAATTTCACTGCATCTCCAATAATAGTTAAGATCATTTCAAAACATCATTTGTTATTGAAAAAGGCTGCAATCAAAAAAATTCAAACTGTTGAATTTTTTTAAAAAAAAATATTATTGGTTAAGGCATGCAAGCAAAGCAAAACCAAAAAAAGAATTATATGTATATATCTAAAGAACCTAAAAAATTAAAAATCAAAACAAAAGGGAATTTTAAGATAAATAAAAAGAGCATTCTAGAAGCAACTTTCCCTTTCTCCAAACCCCTTTTTCCCCAGCTGCTAATGGTTACTTGTATATTTTAATCCTACTTTGGACATTATTAACTCCTATCTGTTTGGATCACATTAATCATTATTACTAACGAAACAAGTTCACCTGTGCCCTTTCCCATTCATACAGAATCATAACTTAAATCTGAGAATAAAGAACATTTTCCCCAATTTATGCCATTATAGCTTAAAATAGTAGCAACTTTCCTTTCTCTCACTCACTTCCAGATCAGTTCAGGGCTACAAAAAAATATTATGATAATGTCAAACGTAACAAAGCAATTAAGTTCACAGCACATTGTCACCAATAACATCAGTGGGACTTCTTGGTTTTGATTTGCTTTTTTACTTCCAAAAAATAATCTCCCATCATTCTCTGTTTTCCAGAGTACAAAGTATTGGTCTGCTTTTACTCAAATTTGCGGAAGCAAAGCCAAAAAGGGATAGTAGCTAATTGTTTCCAGGTCCTCTATTGCTTTGAGGGGAAAAGTGCGGCCTCTGCTCTCTTCTACCTTTAACAGGGTTAGTTTAGGTCTGCATTGTCCATTGTTTTAAGAGCCTCTATATACAATACAATGGGAAGATTGGATTGGCTGTGCTATTCTGCCATGTTTTGTGGTTCAAGTCAATAAAAAGGGATGAAAGACAAAGAAGTAAGCCCAGAATAGCCCATATGAGTTAGGAATATTTGCTTCCCTTTTTCCTTTCCACTCCATTCTTTTCTGAGCTAATTTTGGCCTCAGTGATTTCCCTAACCTTTGCCTACACCAGGGGTCTGCAACCTTAAACACTCAAAGAGCCATTTGGACCAGTTTCCCACAGAAAAGAAAACACTGGGAGCCACAAAACCTGGGTGGGTGTGGCCAACTCCACATCACTCACTTCCACCAGTCACATGACCCCCCCCCCTAGCCACGCATACCCAGCCGGTCATTAGGGCAGAGAACCAGTTGTTAAAAAAACACCAGGAACCACAAAATCCTTCTTACATCTCTTTCTCCCTTCCTCCCCCCTCCCCCCCTCTCACTGTATCTCTCTCTGTCTCTCTCTCTCCCCCTCTCTATCTGTCTCTGTCTCTGTCTTGGCTGCTTCTCCATCCACCGCCGTCGCCCTTACCTTCTCAGGCCAGGCAAGGAGTGACTGGGAGGGGAGGGCTAGGGGTGGGGCCAGCCAATGGTGGGATCACCTGACAGGGAGCCACAGCAGAGGGCCCAAAGAGCCGCATGTGGCTCCAGAGCCACAGGTTGTTAACACCCGGCCTACACTCAGAAAGTTGCCCTTCAGTCATGGCTGGTGCAGCCTTGTGGTACTGCTAGTCATCAGGGAGTTGTTGCAGCGAGATTGTGGCAGATAAGGAATTCAGTACTTTGAAATATGTCATTGTCATCGGCTGGTGCTCAAGTTGAACCAAGTGATTATTTCCCCCTGCTTAAAACAGACATTCATAAACATATAGCATACATGTTATATGAAAAATGTATATTTGTGTATCAGAGGTGGGGAACTTTATGACTTGTGGACTTCAACTCCCAAAATTGAACTCATGGCTGGCTCAGGAATTCTGGGAGTTGAACTCCACATGTCATAAAAGGGCCATAATTCCCCCACCCTGCCTTAAGGAAATGATTGATGTCACCCAGGGAAACACCTTGGACTGATTGAACAAGAGATTTAATAGTAAAGGTTAAATAATGATCTGAGTGATTGTGTTCTTCACTTTCGATCCCTGGGTGGAATGAACTTTATCCAGGCATATTGAACTTGCTTTCCCCTCGCTCTTCTTTGAGTGAAACCATTGGGCCAAACCTTTTCACAGCTCCTTTTTCCACTATTAGCAACAAATAGGGTTACTCTGAGCCAGTTTACAAGATGAAGAGATATTAGAGTTATCATTCCTCTTGTGAAAGAAAAGGAAAACGGTGGCTGTTAGCAGCCAACAAAGCAAAAATTCCTGCTTTCTTGGTTGTTGGCAGCTACAAAAGGGCCATTCAATATAGAAAGCAGTACAGGATTTGCCATAAAAACCTATATTTACCTATTTTCTTAACCAGAATCGAGCTAAAGAACTACCACTGCTTTGAGGAAGGGTGTCAAACTCGCGTCATGGTGGCGTCACGTGACATATCAGGACTTTTATTCCCTTTGCTAAACTGGGTGTGGGCGTGGCCAGCGTGTGACGCATCTGGCTCGCAGGCCACCAGTTTGACAGCCTTGCCCTAGAGCAGTGGCTCTCAACCTTCCTAATGCTGAGACCCTTTAATACAGTTCCTCATGTTGTGGTGACCCCCAGCAATAAAATTATTCCTAAAACCATTGAAAATATGTTTTCCGATGGTCTTAGGCGATCCCTGTGAAAGGGGTCCTGACCCACAGGTTGAGAACCACTGCCCTAGAGCAATGACAAGCTGATCCTGTCATTGCTCCTGTACTGACTGAATTTAGCCCTGCAAGTTGACAGCTTACTGATTCAGCTCCCTACCAGAAAAATAAGTTTAATTATGCAAATAAGCTTATGCATTTGCATAACTAAGTAATCAATAGTAAGACGTCTACGGAGATCCTCAGTCATCCAGATCATGGTTGTCCCAAGGATGCTTTTTTTCAACAGGCAACTGGACTTTCTGGTTTTTCTTTGAAGATGTTTCGCTTCTCATCCAAGAAGCTTCTTCAGCTTCTACAGCAAGATCCTCCTTAACTGAACTCCATAAACCCTCCTAAAAGTGTCCTCCTCTACTTGTAAGCAGCTAATTCAGCATATGCTGACTCCAATTGTTAG